CCAATGTACTGAAGCTTCCGCAGTTCGCTTGGGCAGACGGATAGCAGCAGAGCTTTGAGGCAATCAAAACGGCATTAACATCGGCTCCTGTACTGGTGCTAACTGATCTTAATAAACCATTCATGGTTGATACGGATGCCGCTACGATAGGCATCGGAGCAGTTTTATCTCAAGACAACAAACCGGTGGAGTTCTTTAGTGAAAAATTATGTCCTTCACGACAGAGATGGACTGTTTACGAACAGGAGTTGTATGCTGTTGTTAGAGCCTTAAAATAGTGGGAGCATTATTTACTACACCAAGATTTCGTCCTCTGCAGTGATCATAAAGCTCTACAGTACATCAATTCTAAAAAAATATCAATCGGATAATATTCCTACAGATCATAAAGCTCTACAACATTATTTACTACACCAAGATTTCGTCCTCTGGATAATATTCCTACAGAGATTTACTTTTGTACTGAAGCATAAGAGCGGAGTGCAAAATCGAATAGCTGATGCACTTAGTAGAAGGGCTGCTCTTATAACCAGACTACAAACATAATTTTTCGGTCTTGAATGCTTGAAAGAATTATATCCTGCGGATGACTATTTTAAGGAGCATTGGTCCAACTGCTGTAAGCAGGAACTAGCAATTTAGTATTCTATACGCCATTGGTTTCTTATTTAAAGGTAATTTACTGTGCATTCAAAGCTCATCCTAGAGGCAGCAGATTATTAAAGAAACTCATACAGGCGGTCTATCAACTCACTTGGGCCGTAATAACACGGTCATTCAGCTGCAGCAACGATTTTTTTGACCACACTTAAGGCGGGATGTCTCTAAGTTCGTTGAGAGGTGTTCAATTTGTCAAACTTACAAAGGGGGAGGACAGAACACCATATTGTATCAGCCATTGCCCGTGCCGGGGTCCATCTGGGAAGGTTTGAGCCTCGATTTTGTGCTTGGCTTACTGAGAACCAAACATGGAAATGATTCTATCATGGTCGTAGTGGATTGCTTTTCAAAGATGCGCACTTCATTGCCTGTAAGAAAACTTTTGATGCTCTCAATATTATCAAGCTTTTCTTCAAATAAATTGTGCGTTTACATAGTATCCCGTGAAGCCTTACATCAGATAGAGATGTTAAATTCATTAGTCATTTTTGGCGAGAACTTTGAAAAAGGTTACATACGTAGATCCAGTTAAGCTCCTCATACCACCCACAGACCGATGGCCAAATGGAAGTGGTGAATCGCACTTTGGGTAATCTCTTGCGTTGCTTAGTTCAAGACAACCCGAAAATCTGGGATGAATTACTCGGCCAAGCAGAATTCGCTTTCAATTCCATGACGAATCGCTCCACTGGTATGTGCCCATTTAGTATTGTTTATACTACAGTACCAAATACCATTCTTGATGTTACAGTGCTTCCAAAATGCAAAAGTAAGTCGACTTCTACACTAGTATACAACTATACATAATTCCTATCTAGTATTCGACCAAAGCTACAAGAAGCCAATGCAAAATATAAGCTGGACGCGGATGTCCATAGACGAGAGAAAATATTCAAGCCTGGAGATTTGGTGCTCGTTCGGTTGAGGAGAGAATGCCTACCAGTGGGTGAATATTCCAAACTGGGCAAAAGAAAATGGGGGTCATTTCCTATTAGCAGAAAGATCATTGATAATGCATATATTGTTGATTTGCCGGAGGAGTTCAACACATCTCATAATTTCAACGTCAAAGACATCCATGCCTATTCCCCTCCTGATGATAGTGTGACGCAAACTCACTCTGTTGGTACAGATGTTTTTCTTGGTGGGGGCGAATGATGTGGAGCATCTATCCTTATAGTGTTCCCGGAAGTATCTTATCCTATTAGTATCCTTTTAGTTATTCCGTGGTATTGCTGTGAGCTCCACTACCCTTTCAGTTTTAATTAGTTACATTAGTACATAATACACTTTTTATATTTTCATACTTTATTTAGCATAGGGATACAGAGAAGGTATATACGAGCTTTTCTGTAAGGAGGAAGATAGAAGTTCATTTTTAATCAATACTATCACTATATAGTTATATGTCTAGTATTTTCCTTGCTTGTCTTATCTGTTCTTATTCCTTCGCAGGTGCGCCAGCATCACTCAACATTTGAGATGAGTTTAGAATTGCTAATGACTCTAAGAATGAGACCAGTTTATAGTCCTATTGATATCAAATCCAAGATGAGTTCAAGAGGACTTACAACTACAAACTTGCAATAATATCAGGATCACATTTTAATTTGATTGACCAAAGTCAATTAATAAGGGATGTATAACTACTAGCTATAATTATATCATCATCTCATTTCAAATAATAGGATATTATCCAATGTTCTTAATGCATTATGCATGCTAGGCAAGTGGTAGCCATGTAACCACATTAACTATTTCAAGCAATCCGACTAACTAATTTGATATGGCCCTATTGGGAAGAAATTATTACGTGGGAATTCGGCCGTAGAATTACGTCCGGATTATGAGTATATTCACTGTGTAAAAAAGTATAGTGTGTACTTTTGTTCACACTGTGTACACTTACATGTCCAGATGTAACTCTATGTCTATAGGGAGCGAGGGAGAGTTTATAACTTTCCAAATTTATTAATTGAACTTCCCATATACCAATGATTCCACACATCCTTTATTAAGTTATGATAGAAGATTGCGCTCACAATCATAATGAAGGAGAAGAAGATTTATTGAAGGAAAGTTATATTTCGTTTAAACAAATTATGAAATTGTAAAAAATATAATTTATTTTCATTTTAAAAAAACAATACAAATAATGGTACTCTTCCAAATAAAATTCTAAATTTAATTAGATGTAGGACTAAAAAAAAAATTGTGTATAAGATTGTCAAGGGTTTCATAATATATTTTTATTTCATTTTCTTCAAATATTGTAATGATTAAAAACTAATGTGTAAAATATGTAAGTAATAATAAGAATTTAGTGTTACACTTGTGAATCTCCTAAGAATATAATAAAAATTAGTGAAAAAAAATTAATTTATTATGAAAAAGAGAAAACTTTCAATCCAAATAACCACTTTAATAAAATAATAAAAAATAATAAATGGAGGATAAATAATAAAATAAATTAAGTTGAAAAATAATAGCTAAAAATCTATTAACATTACAATTAAAATATTAAATTCTAATAAAATTTTGGGATTTTTACATACATGCCACTTTATAACATGTATATTACATATTTAACACTCAAAACTTAAATATTACACTCCTACCACTCAAATGCAAACTTAACCTCAAAAATACCACTCCCTCTCACTCCGTCTCTTCTCCGCTTCATTTCACGCTACCCTGCCATAAAAAAAGAAAACTTTCAATCCAAATAACCACTTTAATAAAATAATAAAAAATAATAAATGGAGGATAAATAATAAAATATATTAAGTTGAAAAATAATAGCTCAAAATCTATTAACATTACAATTAAAATATTAAATTCTAATAAAATTTTAATGTATTTTATATTATTATTCTTAAAAATCTGATTCATGTTTCATATATTTTATATTTTTTACTCATTATTTCATTTAAAAAAGTAGAATTAACATAAATAACACTCACTCTAATTTTTAAATTAAATTAAATTATAAGTAAAAAAATAAATTATAAGTAATAGTAATTTATTAAAAATAAAATATATTTGTATGATATATTTTGATATAATTTAAATATTTAGATAGTATATAAATAAATATAAATTTTTAGATATTAAATATATAAATAAATTAAAACTCTCTCTCTCTCTCTCTCTCTCTCTCTGTCTCTTTATATATATATATACATATATATATAATTCACAAAAATAAAATAGAAAACTTAAATAAATAATATTCAAATTTTAACCATTTATAAAATATCTCAAAATTTAAAATTCTGATATAAAAATTGAAATTCACAATCCTAATGCATGAGAATATGACTAAAAATAAACCGAGCCGAGCCGAGTTGAATAGATGCTTGTTATTGATTGAGCTCTTTTATTATTAGGTTGTTCAATCTCTATTTGATCTTGATTCTAGCTTTTATATTTTTGTTCAAGCTTTGTTCGTTTAAAATCATAAATGCTTATGTTTGATTTGTGTTTGGTTCATGTTTGATTAATTTGATGCATATCAAGCTTTAAACAAATGAGCCTTATCAAGCTATTAATGACCTTTTCTTTCTAGATGATCATTAGCTTAATATACGAGCCAACAATTACTGTAGAGTCTTCTTACAAAAATATCTTTGAGTGTTTTAGAGTTGCCAAATAAGTGCGTTTACAAACATATCTAGCCATTGTTATCGAGCTACCAATGAGCCTCTTCAAGAACAAACAAACCTAGAAAATGGTTCTTCTTATAAATAAGTTTGCTCATGAACATTTCAAACAAACAATCATATAATTTTGAATAACCAATGTTTGTTCATGATAAATTTATTCTAATGAAAGAGTGTAAAATAAAATTTGAATTTATTTTTTATAAAACATGAATCATTTTTTACAATAAACTAAAAATTATATGAATGTAATTGATTAAAGATTTAAGCCAATCTTAGGAAATGCATTTAATTCCAAACATTATTTATAAATAAACTTGTTCATGATATCTGTCAAACATGAATCTTGCATTTTGAAGAGCTTTTTATCGAGTTTGTTCATAAGCTTTAAATAATATTATTATTGATGAATATAAATAAAAAAAGAACATAGATATTCAAACTTGTTTATTTAACTATTAAGTTTTGATCATATGGTTAGGAATGCCAGGGGCTGAAAATTTGTGAAGGTAAACGTGCGAGGAGAATACCAAAAAGGTTCAACATGTACGAATCGAACTTCGGGTTTAATTGTGTCGCTTCGTGTTCCGCGGTTCGTAGGTTAAATTTGATTTTTTTTTGTTTGATTTTAACCCACGAAACACATAACCTGGGACAGTACTAAACACCGATGCATGTAGGACTTTCTTATTCCCCACGCACATTTATCTTACCAAGTTTCCCTGATGCTCTGCATTTCCCTCCCTAGTCCCAGCGCCCAACCTTGCTAACGGGAAGAACCGAGCGGGAGGGAGAAGAGCTGACTACGATGCCCTCCATCTTCTCCTTAAGCCTACTTACTATCATCTAATTGTCAACCTACCATGGCGATTCCAAACCCTACATCATTGTCGTTTCTACCATCCAAGCCCTCATTTCCCGCTTCCCTCCATCGGGCCTATAACTACCGCCTCCCCATACTCCGCCTCCGTGCTGCTGCTGAAGCTTCAGACGCTGCAGCCTCTCCTTCTCCGGGCTGGTTCGTTCCCCCGGGCCCTCCCTCCGGCTGGGATGGTATGGTTACCGGCAGGAGCCCTGGGGTGAGGACTAACGCCCAGGAGGATGATAAGGGCGTCGGTAGGATGAAAAAGAAGCGATGGTGGTGGTGGTCTCGAGACAGGGAGAGCTATCTGGTTGATGATTCCGACGCTCTTCCACTTCCGATGACCTATCCAGATTCGTCGCCGGCTACTCCGGAAGAGATAGACCGGCGCGTCAAATGCGATCCGATTGTCCAGGTTCGGGTTTCTTTTCTGAACCTTTGGCCATTTTTTGGGCATTTTGTATTCTGATACTCTGGCTTTGTTGTGTTCTGATAGGAATGCAAGGAAGTTGTCTACGAGTGGACAGGGAAGTGTAGGAGTTGCCAGGGGACGGGTTTTGTTAGTTATTACAGCAAGAAGGGGCGTGAGACTATCTGCAAGTGTATTCCTTGTCTTGGTTTAGGTAATGATGCCGTCCTTTGGCGCTTCATGCTCTTATTTTGCTGCGTATCTTGTTTTATCATTTTTGGCTAGTGCTGTTTGATCATGTTAGGCTACTGAAAAAATAAGTGTTTACTTGTACTGCTCCTGCTCAGTTGGGGACTAGGTTATCTTAAGTGGCTTAAAGATAATTATGTTAGTAGTTTCAGCCTAGTTGTCTTAGTCTGGATTTACCTAAAAACTTTTTGATCAGCAACAAAATTAAATATGAATCAATCCTAGATTATGGTTTAATTTGGTTCATTCATAGGATATCTATTGTTATAGTTTAACCCAGCAAGATAGCAAGTTCTGAGGGTTGGATATAGATTTGTTGTCATGCTTATTTTAACTATTTATGGTCTTTAGTCTAAACTTAAGAGTTATGATGTCCGTCTTGTTGTTACACTACTTGATCCATTTATAAGCTAGACTTACATTTATTGTTAAGATATTTTGAATTGATGATCTTTATAGTAATTTAACTACATATACACAAATGTTAAGGATATGATGTCTTCTTGTTTGGCTTAGTTTCTCTCCATATCCCCACTTCTAGTTGAGGGGGCTAGTTTAGAAATGCCAGAATTATAGTTAACTGTGCTACTTAGTACTTACTATGATTGTTTCATTGTGAAGTAGGTTGCTAAAGGTTGACTATTTAATAATTTATTGTTGGTTATGCAGAGCATTGTGTTTTGTCATTGATTGAATAGTTAAAAACTTTGATAATGTTGGTATATCAATGGTTTTCCCGCGCCCCTTGGTTCAAGACTTTTGATCAAGAACATATTTGGCCATTGGTATAGTGGGTCCATCTTGTTCCCTAGTGTTACACTTTTGTTGACCAATGGTATTATTAGGGGTGTAAGTGAGTCGAGCCAGCTCGAGCTTAGCTCGTTAACAAGCTTGCGAGTCGAGCTTATCGAGCCATGAGTTTGAGCTCGAGCCTATACTTGAGCTCGTAAATTAAACGTGCTTAAGCTCGAGCTCAAGCAGTGGCGGAGCCATAAACTTTTCATGGATGGGGTCAAATTTAAAAAAGAAATCCCCTCAACTTTTTTCATCCGGGCCTGAGAACGACATTGACAGTTTTAAAAATTTTAATTTAAAAATAAAGTACTAAATATAAGATGAAGTACACTTTTAATTTATAACATCTATTATTCATATTTTAAAAAATATTGAATAATAAGATTATAATCAAAACAATTTATTTTTTTTAATATAAGTTATTAAAGTATCGTTCATCAACTGATCTCCAATTCGATTGCATAATCAATTTTTTATGATAGCAATTGCAGAAAATGCTATTTTAACTCCAGATGTTGCAATGGGTAATTCTAATGTCAGCTTCAATAGCCTAAAAATAAGGGTGGTATAGTAATTTCTTCCTGTTCTGAATCATTATTTCAGCAAAATTTCCTATATCTTTTAACAATGAAAATTGAACATCAAACTGCATTTTCATAATATAAGTTTCTAGCTGATTATCAAGAACATTCAAATCTGAAGGAGTGAAATCAGTTGGATATTATTTTGTCATTCTAATTAACTTCTCTTTTGAATCCATAAAACGAATTTGATTGATTCAAATAAGCAATACACAAAAGTAATTCAGTATTAGCCTATGTGAAATGATTATTCAACTATTGAAGTTGCGTATCAAGTGCTGCGTAGAATATATCAACTCGATAATGATGTAAATTTGTTATTTTTTAAAGTCCACATCACGGTCGTCCACAGGCAACCCATTTATCATTTAGATTCAGAGTGATAAATTTGTGTTCAACACAAAATGAAATTACTTTTTTAATGAAGTCATTCCACTTATTATCTCTCATGTCTTGTAATCTAATTATTAATATTTGAATTAAAGACATGACATTCATGATGTCTTGATCTTTTCTTTTCAAAGCTTCTGATAACTCGGCTATGATTCCAAGTATGTCTTTCATTAAGTGCCAACAAAAAGAAAAATCAAAAGATTGTAATAAATCTAATAATGCAAATACCTCTCCTATTTGTTTAGAGCTCATGTCATCTTCCAAAACTATTTCAATTACATTAATAACTGAGGAAAATATTATAATCAATCTAATCAATGACTCATAATGAGAACTCCATCTTATTTCACTAGCACGCCTTAATAATATTTTTTTATTTAATCCGCATCCAGTGAATATCTCACCATTTTGTAATACACTTAACGTCATCTCGCGTTATTTTTTTTCTAAGTTGATCACGACGTTTGCATGAAACACCAATAATATTCACCACGTTTGAAATTATAGTAAACAATAGTGCAATATGAACATGATTTTTTGCAATTGCTGCCAAGACTAACTGAAGCTAGTGTGAGAAACAATATATAATGTGCAGATTTATTCTCATTTAGAAAAAGTGCTTTCAGCCAATGAAATTCTCCTATCATATTTCTTGCTCCATCGTAACCTTGACCACGAATTTTTGAGTGAGACAAACAATAATTTGAAAGGACTTGTTCAATTCCTTATTTTAAATATCTAGTTGATGTTTCGGGAACATATACAATACTAAAAAAATATTCAATAATTTGGCCTTTTTCATTCACATATCGTATAACGACAGCCATTTGTTCTTTCCCTGATATATCACGAGCTTCATCAACAAGAATAGTGAAGAAACTATCACCAACCTTTTCTTTTATATAGTTTGTCATTGCACTAGAGATGTCTCTACAAACATCTTTCTGAATTTCATGGGCAATTAATTTCAAATTCTCAGGAGCATTCTTCAGTACAACATTATTTATATCTTCATTATTCTTTGATAAAAAGCGCAGTAGCTCGAGAAAATTTCCTTGATTTTTGGAGTCGAAACTCTCATTATTCCCTTGAAAAGCTAATCTTTGCCTTAGAAGGAATTTCACACAATCAACAGAAAAATTAAGTCGGACACGATATGCATTTGTAACTCGATCAGAATGCATCTGCAATGCAAATTTAATATGTTGACATTGTCTCATTAAATCCTCATTATTTTGTCTTGTATTATTATGAGCACTACTATGTCCTCTTATATGAAGATGAAATCTATCATATTTTTTTCAATTTGAGAATCCGCTTCTGTGAAATGCTTCATCATCTTCTTTTCCTTTTCCTTCTACTCCAAAAAGATAGCAATATAAACAATATGTTTTATCCTTCTAAATACTATACTCTAGCCAACTAGAGTATCTATCAAACCACCTCGGATTAAAACATCTATATTTGATCCCAAACTTACTTTTAGGGAAGTCATGATTGCGAGGCTGCATAGCCCTTTTTGCAAATATGCTCTTCGAATTTGATCAGGATTATTAAAACTAAATTCAAAAATAGGTATACGTAAACCAGGATTTGATTGAAGCTTCTCTAGTTCTGTTAGCTCACTGTCTGATGATTCCCTGAATGTTCAATTTTTTTTTCATCATGATTCTTTTTTGAATCCTCTATTGGTGTTGATATGCAAGATTGTGAGGACTTCTTAAAATGCTTATCTATAATCTTTGTGCAAAAGCAAACTATCTAAAACATATAGAACTCATATAATATAAGCTGTTCTACATAAAAAAATTAAAAAAGGGAAAACATAATGTGTAAACAGAAAACTAAACGCTAAAAAAGAAATGAATTTTGTTTTTTTAACCTAAGCAGAAAACAAATTTTATTTTTTACCTAAACATAACACAAATTTTAAACTAAAGCATTCAAAAACATTTGGTAGCAAACAATTTTTTTTTAACCTAAACAACAAACTAAAGACTAAAAAGTAATAACAGAATCTTAAAAACTAAAAAGCATCAAATGAAGTCGAAATCCAAATACTGAAATACAAACGAAATCTTATGACTTATTTAGAAAACTAATAACATCAAAGTATCAAACGAGTGATATATAGCAAAATAAAATGAAATCCTTAGAGATTTTTAGATGTACTTACCTTCAGGACTTCAGCTATGTTACGGGCTGCCGAATCGAAAACAAAAGAACTGAAGATGGGAGCGAATATGCAAATGCACGGTTATGGGTTGTCGGCTGGACGAACTGTTTAGAAAAATAAAATGAAATCCTAAGACATTTTTAGATGTACTTACCTTCAGGACTTCAGCTACGCTATGGGCTACTGGATCGAAGACAGAAGAACTGAAGATGGGAGCGAATTTGCCAATGCACGAGTACGGGCTGCCGGCTGGACGAACTATTTGGAGACAATCTTGCGTCGAGCGAGAGCTTATGAGCCCGCAAGAGCTTCTGAGGCTGGAGGCAGAGGTGACGACTGACGAGACGTGCTTCCTTCTCCTGTTCTCCATGCGTGGCCTTTTAAACCCGAACAGGAACATGTGAAGTATTAGGGCAATCAATTGTTGAACCGCCCAAAATGCCCGAACAAGTGCATGTATTAGGGTTTTTTTTTTCGGAGGGGGCACGTGCCACCGTAGGACCCTGCCTAACTCCGTCGTTGAGCTCAAGCCTGACTATGCTCGAAAGCTTGTTGAGCCGCTCGATTAAATTATAATGTATTAATAATTAATTTAAATTAGTATTATATAATATATTTTTAATAATTTTAAATTAATTCTACATTTAAAAATAAAAATTGTGAAAAAACAGAAATTTTAATTTATAACTAAGAAGTAGAGCTCAACAATCGAGTCGAGCTCGAGCAATTGAGTCAAGCTCAATTCTATGAATTTTTTAATGAGCCAAGCTCGAGTTTAGTTGCTGCTAAATAAGCTTAGCTCTATTAGGCAGATACTTGACTAGACTCGTTTACACCCCCTAAGTATTATAGCTTGCGGTGTAAGCTCATATTCACTTGGGTCATATTAATCAAGTTACATGAGGACTTGGATTGGGTTCAAGAAATTGTAGAATGTGAACTGGATTAAATTGCCATCTTGGAAGTTGGAACACACTTATTTTGAAATTGCTGGAATCCTCAAGTCGCCATGGACTTAACATTAACTATGCTTTCAGCACTAAGTTGTTAAACTTGGCCAAGAGACTTATGAAATTGCGTACTCACTTAGAGTACTTGCTCGATGTACTCATCGATTCATCTATTCGCTCAAAGAATGACTTCTAACATGATTTTTTCTCAACATAATCAGCGAACATGGATTCAACATATTCATTTTTTTTATGTAATTTTGTTATATTGCCGACTCTGTGATAGGAAACACTTGGATTTCCAAGTGTTTCTCACCAAGATCAAGTAGATCCAAGGAAAAACTGCTGTCCACAGCAGAAAAACAGCCAAAATACAAGAAGAATCTGAGATGAAAGTGTAGGAAAACGATGCAAACACTTTTATTTCGATAACGGATGAAAAGCACTTGCAAGATACAACTTTCCTTCAATTCGAGAGGAAGGAAAAACTCTCCAAAAGATCTCCGGCGAAGCCAAGAGCCCAAGACACCAAAACCTAGATCTCAAAACAATTCAAATTCAAGATAATCTAAATCCCTCCCAAAACACCTAATTAAAGACAAAGGAATATTACAAATGACCTAAACACCCCTTAGTCGTCCGAAAATCAACTTTTCTCCAAAATCTCTCGACTTTCTCTCTCCTCGGCTGATATTTTCATTTTTAATGATTTTCTCTCTCCTCAAAATGACTTGAAATCAGCTTTATAATCTTCAGATCGGCCCGGCCGATCGCCAGATCGTCCCAGGATGATCAGACCAATTTGGATCGTCCTGGACGGTTCCTAAAACTATTCTCAGGCCGACATTTTCTACAGTGCCAATCGGCCCGGACGATGTCCTCAATCGGCCTGGACGATATGTACAGAAAATCACCTGGAGCAAATCTGGGCACATTCTGGAGCAACATTCCACTGATCGTCCCAGGACGATCCAGATCGTCCTGGACGATCCTGGAGCAGATTTTTGATATTACAGAACCCCTAACGAAGCCTAGTAGAAGAATTAAAGAAACCCTCTAAGGAGCCATTAAGGAAAATAGAGAAAAACACCTCTGAAATACACCCCTTAATCCAATTAATAAAAAGGTCCGGGAAACCTTTTTATCTTAGAGTGTTTAGTAGAAAAGCTCTAGAAATTGAATCAAAGGCTTCCTTAATATCAAGCTTGGCACAAAAAAGCTTAGGAGAGCCTTTAAAAACTTTGAGCATTTTAGAAGCCAGTATAATTTGTCCGTAACAACATCTTTTAGCAATGAAGCCAGCTTGACTCTCATAAATGATGGACAGAAGGACAAATTTTAATCTATTGGTAATGATGTTAGCCATAATCTTGTAAAAAACATTACAAAGATATATAGGTCTAAAATTAGAGATGTTAGAGGAGTGGGTCCCTTAGGAATGAGGGTAATAGCAGTGGATTTTGCTCCTTTAGGTAAGTGACCATAGGAGAAAAAATGCTTCACTACATTACATAACTGGTGCCCCGTTCTCTGCCGATAAATATCAAAGGAGAAACCATCCGGTCCCAGAGTAGAGGAGGCAACCCCAACAAAAACAATAGTCTTGATTTCAAGATCAGAGACTGGAGCAATCAAGTAATCCAAATGATGAGAAGGAACCTTGTTGCCAACATGAATGTCAAAAGAGCTCTCATGAACCGGGATAGGGCCATTATAGAGAGCTTTAAAGTGGTCAATCAAAGCAGTAGAAATATCTTGATGAGAGTTGTGAAAAACCCTAGGAGATGCGATTTCTTGAATATTGTTTCTATTCTTTTTAACTCTAATCTTAGCATAAAGAAAGCCAATATCATCCTCCCCCTGAGAGAGCAAAAATTCCTTAACTCTTTGAGCAATCCAAGATGACCATGCAGATAGCAAGCTAGCAAGTTTATTATTAGCCTTTTTAAGAGAGGCATTCAAATACACATATAAAGGATTATTCTAAATATCAGAAATGCATTGATGTTGTAATCTCTTGACTTCCAAAAAAGAGTTAGAGAGGAAATTTGAAGAGGCCCATCATTTGTCTAGGATGCCACAAACAGTTATAAAAGGAGGCAATTGAGCTAGCAGAGATGGGTCTATCAAAGGCCAAGAGGATTTCATCCCAAAAGCCCTCCATATTGATCCAAAAATCTTTGAACATGAAAATTAAAAAAGTTCTCATAACCGGGGAAGCCATCATTATCAGAGGAGAATGACCAGACCCAAAAAATGAATCAACCTTGTAATAAGCAGAAGGGGAATAAATCTAGGAAAGTAGCATTAACTAAGGCTCTGTCAAGTTTAATAAGAATGGGGAGATCCACCCTTTGGTTAAATCAAGTAAATAAAAGCCCCGTAAAAGCAAGATCTTATAAACCACAATCAAAGATAAAATTAGTAAGCTCTCTCATATGACTAGCAGGTAAAGTACTGCCACTAACTTTCTCAAAGTCAAATATACGACAATTAAAATCACCAATGATAACCCATGGATGATCAATACTAGAAGATAAATCCATAAGATTCTCCCAAAGAATCTTCCTGTCCTCCATCAAATTAGTCACATAAACCACCGAGAGGAAAATGGGAGATAAGGAACCAATAGAAAGGATACCATGAATAATTTGGGAGGAGATGAAAGTAGGGTTGAAAGATATTTGAGAAGAATCCCATTTCATCCAAATTCTACCAGGGGTAAAACAATTGAAATTGTCACAACATTTCTCATTATCAAAGAGCACAAGAGAATAAGAAAACTAAGAGTCAGAGGTCATAGAAGGTTGAATCTTAGCTTCTAAAAGATAAAGAAGCTTAAGGTTGTAGAAGCTAATGAGGTCTTTGTACATCCGCACTTTGACAGAATTGTTAAATCCCCTAACATTCCGGGTAGCAAAAGAGGGCAGGGATATATCTACCCAGAAGGTTTGGCCTTCCTGATCGATTTGGCTTTGGGTTTCTTGGAGAGAGGTTGTTTAGAGGAAGAAGAATTTGGGTTAGAGGTTTGGGATTCTTCATAATGAGTGGTGGTAGAGGCTTCTGTTAATCCCATATAGGTTATTAAATCTAAGCAATTGTCCCAAGGCTAACTAAGGGGAGCTAGTGAATTGGTAATTTAAAAATTATCATGGATTTTTTAATAGAAAATTGATTTTAAAAGTTCATAGCATGTTAATTTAAGTTTTTAAAATTTTCAACCACAATAAATAACTTGCAGTAATTAAAATATAGAAATTAAAAGACACAAATATTTATAGTAGTTCGATGAAACACAATATACATCCACTCCCTGAAGACTCCCTCTTCAGGTATTGCACTATTACCAAAGTGTCTCTCCTTTTTCCCCCATAGTAAGGCAGAGAAGCCTTTACAAAACCTCTCTTCCACCAATCCCCGGTGCAGTAGAGAACCGTCGTCATTTCACAAAAGCATATCGTACGTTACGATTAGTTTTTTAAAAAATGTAGATTTTAAACTCTTCCACAGTGTGTGTGTATAATTACTTAATTACGATCATACTCTCTCAAACGTTAAATTAAATTAATAAATCATTATAAAAATAAAATTATTAAATTAAATTAAATTGACTAAATTGATTAAATTGATATTGCATTTTAGTTTAAATAAAATAAAACAAAGCATACAAAGCAGATCTGCCATAGTGGCACGGTGGTGAAGGGTTTTAAAGGCTGGACGACGCGGGTTCGAATCCCGCTGAAGGCGGCTGGACGACTCGGGTTCGAATCCCGCCGAAGGCTGGTGATGCTAGGGTCGGTGATCCCACTGGCGAGCTTGCATGGGGATGGTCTGGCTGGATATTTGAGCTGGGAGTCCTAGTGTAGCCAACGACTGCGGGTTGTTTGATCAAAATCTTTTTTTTTATATATTTTTTTTATTTTCGACGTAAAATAGTATGTCAAAAATTGTACCGTCATAATTATTTCATCGGAAATCCGTCAGAAATATCTCCAGCGGAATATTTTGCATTGAAACTCCTTTTCCGATGCGTGTTTTACCTTCGAAAAAAAATCTGTTGGAAATCCACTGGTAATATTAATTTTTGACGGATTTGGGGCATTTTTCGACAAATTTTGGGAGCCGGTAACACGCGATCTTCCTGTATTTTATTTGAGTGAATCTTATATATATGCTAGAAAAGATTCATTTGGCTTCATGTGGCTTTTAAATTTGGGCAGTCCGATTTTATATGTCCAGATATCCTGCATTCGTAATAAATCACATCATTAAAAACTTTAACATTTTTATAAAACTTACCTCGGTTATATTGTTGGCATCTCCTCTGCTTCCTTTTAAGAAAAATTCTGAATTGCCTAGTCATTAAGGCAATATTGTCCTCATCCTTAGGTTGTGACGGATCACTCTTCGAATCCTCCACTTCAGTACAATATTCTTCTCCTTTCATTATTCAC